CATATTAACCAATCCATTCACTTACTTGGGTTCTTCTAGAAATTGCATACTTCTTCAAAAGAATGTAGACTCCATTCCTCCTATGTCCAACAAGGCTGGGCCTTTTACCTGCAGAGAACAAAAACAATCACTTTTATTATAGTAGCAGAGAGAATTGAGGCAGGCTGTAGCCATCCAGAGAATCCGCAAATGGATTTCTGGCTGCATTAAACTCTGCTACCAGCTGTTGAATTTACCATCCATCACAAGGATACAGCTTCACTCCACTAGAGCGGAAGCATTGACCACATTGTGTGCCTCTCATAGGCACATCGAGTTCTATCCCCATGTTTGCAACACATATAGCTTGGTACAGGATTCAACAGTGCACGCCTCCTTGGGCATGTCAGTTCTCTGCAGTACCCTTCCATTTTCCCTCTTGCACCCTCCTCCAATTTAAATACTGGTTGACAGTCATCCACAATAGATTGTAATATGGATTATCACTCAACGACAAGGAGGAGATTATGCACCTGTAAGTAGAAGTTCTTCGAGATGTGTGGTCCATCTCCGTATTCCACTTCTTTCTTTTCCCCCTATTTTGGATCTGTTAGATTCACAGTGGAAATGAAACTGGAGATGTTGCTTTGCCTCACCCTTTGGCTCCTTGGCCGGAAGCACAAGGTGAGTCAGGGTGCACTCGTGGACCAGTGGATGCTACTTTCAAATTCTCCAGCTCTGGGTGTATGATGCATGTGCATAACCCCAGTGGAATACAGATAGGGACCACATATCTCAAAGAACATTTAGTTGCAGGTAGGTAACCTCATTTTTTCCAGTTATTTGCCGCTGTTTCCTATTAAAGAACCCTGAAGAAGAGGGCTGTGCCCATGAAAGTCCATGATACCATCTACATATTTTGTTAGTCTTTAAAGTGCTAGCAGACCATTGGTTGTTTTTTAAGTTTATCACGATATTTGTGTTCACCTTGGAAAGAACTGTTTGCTGTGCTAGTTTATACTTTTCATTCCCCTTTTGGAAGAAAAAACAGGGCATGGGTTTTTATAATTTATTACTTCGCAAAAGTCAGCTGACTCCAAATCTTCTTTGGCAACTGTGCTAACATAAGCATGATTTCCTTCTAACAACAGGCCATGGATGTTCTGAAACAGCAGGGATTTTATGAATATTTCATGACTAGCTTAAGTTAGAATTTGTAGGATTAAAAAAAAGAGGAAACTGGGTCAAATTCACATGGCTAAGTATCTCACTAGCTTAAATTACCAAACTCTCAGATGTGGCATATTTTAAAAACTGAAATAAGCTGTGCTGTGTTCTACTTGACTACTTAAGAATAAAATAATTTTAATAAGAACAGTTGTGGGGAACAATGGGGCAGTGTTGTGGGGTACCAAGTATGAGTTTTGGGTTTGGGAGAAACTTCAGAACATGCAAACTCATTTCTTCGCTCTAGAATCTCATAGTTTCTCTGTGGGTCACTGGGATAGCATGGTGGGTGTTAGGGACACAGAATGTACACCAGCTGTTGTACCTTCTGGAGCATTTTTGAGACTAAAGACTGCACAAGTGCCAGCTTGCTCCTTTACCTAGTGGTGCTCAGCCCCAGACCCTGTTCCCACTCCACCCTTTCCCCCAGGGCCCCACCTCTTCCCTACTTAGTTGCGCCCCCCACCCCCTGTGCCCCATCCCCATTTCTACCTTTTCCTTAGTGCCTCCTGCACCCTGTGGAACAACTGATCGCAGCAGGCGGGAGGCAGTGGGAGGTTGGGGGAGGAGTTGATCAGTGGGGCCACAAACAGATGGAGGCGGGAGGTGGAGGAGCTGGTTGCCGGTGAGCACTAAGCAGCCACTAATTTTTTTTAGATGGGTGCTCTAGTCCTGGAGTACCCACAGAGTTGGCTCCCATGAAAGACAGCTCTGGCTTGGAGGCAAGCAGTGACTTTTGTACAAATGACTATGGGGCACATCAGAGTTAAGCAGAACATTAGCATGCAGTAAAAGTGGGCCAAATTAATCAGAAAGTCAAAGGAACAACCTAATACAGTAGGCAGTACCCAGTGACTGCTGGCTATGAGTACCGTACTCCATCACTGTCTGTTTTGCATGTGTTTGCATTTTACTCATACATTGTTTTACTCATACAATATTTTACTCATACCTTTCCAGTCCTGCCATTTATTACTGTAATATCTTCCATGGCTTTGGGTTCTGGCTCCCACAGCATAATTGTAAGAAACAATAGCAACTGGAAGGGACTGACCTACAGTGATTTTACTACCTTGTCACTGAATGGTGCATATCATGATATTAGTCTAACTGAGAGATTCCCTGGGAATCAGATAACCTGAGTTCTTTAGCTGGCCCTGCCACTGACTTGCTGGGTGACCTTGGGCAGCCCAATCTCAATTTTTTTCCATATGTGAAATGGTTATAATTATACTTCCTTTCCTTTGCTTAACGTTTTGAAGTCCATGGAAAACTATAAATTATAGTATTCTTATAATTCTCCTACATCAGGCCATGTAAAATGTATTCACATTTTTCAGCTTAATTCCAAAAAATGAATCTTACAAGATTCACCCCAGATAAGCTCATTACTTTGAGCCTATGCAATCATCATGCACATAGAATTTATTTGATTGTCCAAGGGAGCTTTTCTGCATGAACTAGGTTCTGCTTTCAGTATGAGCTATTAGTCTGTAATTACCAGTCACACCATCAGCCCTAAAGGAATCTGGAGTCAGGAAAATTTCTCAGCCCTCCCTTACCACCCAGAGATTAGTTGGATGAGATGGGTGATGACAGCTGGAAACATCAGAGTTGTATAGTGTCCTTTTAAAAATCTAACTAAACATGGTGAAGAGTAATAGTAATTTAATCTGTGTCTGTTTGGATATGGTTTGTCTTTTACATCTGCAGCCTATAAGTAGCTTCCATCGGTAACCTACACTAGGTTTCTGCATCCCTGTTTGGCACTTCTTTGTTTTTTTCCATCTTGTGTCTGACATACCTCTTTGGAGATATCATTGGCTAATACAGTTGTGTTCAATATTTTATTCATACATTGTTACGCTAACATCTCTGTGTACTTGGCTCCAGATTTTAAAGTAATCTAGGTGTCGTTGCACTCAGCACTGAAATGCCTAACTGATGTAGGAACTTCAGTCTAGTTTTTCAGAAGGGGTTTAGCCACTTAAAGTAGATCCACTGCAGCACTGAATGTAACAATTTCTAAATAGCTTTAAAAATCTGGTCCTTAGTACTTTAGTTGGGGGGGGAGGAGGGTTAAAGGAAATTAACAGGTTTGCATTAGGGAAAACACATGGAAAAATGTAGATGGAATACATTTTAATAAATGGCTATGCTGTAACAAAACTTGTAATGATCTACATAGTCTTTTAGAAAATGGATACAACTAAAATAAATGTGTATATAAACCCCCTTGTTTAGCACTGCTAAAGTAAAAGGGCTATTTTATTTTAACAATTGGTTTAGTGCTTCATTTTAGTCTTTGCAAATAAACACAAATCTGAGATAAGCGGACTTGTCTTTTTTCAAAGGCAAGTGGTGGGGAGGCTGTGCGGCTCAGGGGCCTCTAGAAGGGAAAATCACTCAAGACTCTCATCAAACTCACTTGATATCTGTGTGTTGATCTAGTCCTCCTCATCACAGCTGCCTTTACAAAGCTTCATCTTCCCTGCTGTTCTGCCCTCAGATGGGTTTCATGGATTTAACAAGAGCCAGATTGAGAATTATAATGCATGACCCACATGGTTGTTACCATCTCAGTTCACTGGCTCAGAAGGAAAGATTGCATTGTGTAGCTTTGTTACATTACCAAAGGGGACCAAAATTGACTGTTAATATCTTTTTCCCCATCAAAAAACAAAAACAAATCAAAGTTAAAACTGATCTCTTTATGCTTCATTTAAGCAACCATTATTCTAGTTCCAATGGGGATGTTTTCTTCTCTGACTGGGTTTTGTCACTTGTCAGCGTACTTTATCTTGAGCAAACCCAAATGTCTACATTATTACATTGGATTATTTTTTAAAAAGGCAATAATGTTAATGACAAAGAACAGAGTTCTGAGAAAAAGTAGATGTTCACCCTATCTCTGCAATTTAACTACAGTCAAATTGTTCTAGCTGTATTCAGCTGATTATATATCCTTGTAGCTGCTTGACTATATTTTTACCTTTTACTTCAACATGAAGCTTTTTATATCATTTAAATCTCTGGTCTTTTTTAGAGGTCATACTGTAACAGAAAGAGCTTTCACACCGTGTTTGCTCAGAATTGTTTTTAGTAAGGACCCAGTTAGTTTTCAATGTTTTTAATAATGAAAATCAATCTCCTCACAGCCAGTCATCAGAGAAAATAGTCTAATTCCAACAAACTGGAGGGCACGCCTCCTTGAGGGGTAGGAGAAATGTTTGGAGTGGGAGGGGAGCGGTGATGCCAGGTGCCTTGTGACAGCACCATGTGGCGGGACCTGAGCCAGTGTGCCATCTCAACCCCCTGAGTCACCTCTGTGGGCCACTTAGTCTACGGGTCAGTGTAAACATCTGCTATAGCTATACCTCCACACCTAGTGTCGGCTTTACCCCCATATATGTGACACACACCTTCCCCAACTCAGCAAAACTGAGGGGGGAAGGAAAGAGTGTACTGCCCCTCCCATGTAGTGCAGCCTGTCAGCAAGGTAGAAGCAGCCCGCTGCTGAGGAAGCGATGTCTGTGCCATTGGTGTCTGTGTACTGAAATGGACCAGTGTAGATAAGTTAATTAAAGTAGTGTCAGGGTCTCTGTTAGGGTTCGGAGTAGGCTGTCAAGCACACTTTTGCATGTATCTACTTTTGTTTGGGTTGTGGTTGGGGGGGAGAGAAGGCGGGGCCTTCCAAAAATTGTAACCAAGTGGGCAGCTCAACTCAACAAGTTTGCAAGCCACTGGTCTAGTTTTCAGTTTTATTGGTTAATTTTATTTCTCTCTCATTTCAGCTATGAAATCAGGCTGGTTACCACCACCACCTGCCCTGCCCCCAAGGCCTTTTGTATCACAAGTATGTACAGAATTTCAGTATGGGGATAATTGGTATACATTTGTGTGGGTTGGTTGGTTTTATACTGTAGCAATAAATACAGGGAGGCTCTCTAACCATTCTCATTATAAAACTAATACTCACCTACAGAATGCTTTATAATGCCATGCTTATTGTGTATGGATTATGTTTATTCAGTCCATGATGTCATATTATTGACTCCTTCCAGCTCGTTGTTATAGAGCTGGGTATGCCTAAGAGAAAATATTGTAATTTATAGGCTGTGTCATAAGGCCAGCATGATGTCTGGAAGGCACAGGTTTGATTCCCAGCCTATTTCTTGCTTCTTAAGCTGTAAGTGCTGTCAAGGTGGCAATGCAGGAAGCATATTTATATCACAGTACATGCTACCTTAACATATCAGTGCGAAAAGTCAAGCTAAAAGGAAATAAGTCCCACATTAGCTACATTATTGCGTGGTATGCTGTGATTTACTGACATATTTATTTAATCAGTGTCACACAGCCATTGTGTAAAGCAAATGGATCTAATCATGAGCAGTCATCCCTAGGAATGTACTGTGTGTAGGTTCTTCAGTTCCTAAGGAATGATGGAAAAGTAAAGGCCATTTAGCTCAACAAGACCTGTCATAGTGATTGCATCTTTACCGCCCTGTTTGCTGTCTCTCTTAATCCTCTTCTATAAAAATGTCTATCCAGATGTTTTACTCATTTGTACTATTGGTTCCAATAGGCCTTACATGGCAGTTTTATATGTCAGTCTTTTGGATGAGAAGTAGAATTAAGTCCCTGATCACTGTGGAGCTAACATTCCTACTCCCCCATAAAAAGTGCATTGGCATATTTGAGATCACCAGCAGTCAGGACTTCAGTTCTAGGTCTCATATAAGAGTCAGAATCTCTAGCAGCATAGTGGCCCCTAATGGTATGCAGGAGCATTTGTTCTGCCATCTGCTGTGTCACAAACAATAAATCTCTCCCAATCCCCTTTTCCCTTAAATTATCTTTGGAGTTTACTAAATGTTTCATTTGGAGGATTGTGTAGACTGCTGACTTAACCTTCTTTGATCCAGATACAACCTTAGTTGTGCACCTTTAGTGCATCCATCAAAGCCTTGCTTTACCTTTATCTCCTGTAAGCAGAGTCATCACCGCTCCCTCCTTCTACTCTAATTTATTGCTTATGCCTCCGTTACATCATAGCCATTGTCAACCACTCCACCTCCACTGTACCCTTTGACACTTACAAGTCTTACAGTCACTCCTGCCTGGAAAATAAATAAAAAAGCAAAACAAAAGTCTTTTCTTGAGGAGCAAACAAGTGCTGTGGGTAATGCTTTTGCTAATTGTTTATTTTCTCCACCCATGTGTGTCTGAAGGTGTAGCACATGGTTCTTTGTGCTGAGACTTTCTAGGATTCTTTCCCAGTCACATGTCAATTTTGGGAGAGTTTTGACTTTTAGGAGGCATTATGGGAAGGGTTGGAGGATTATCAGTACATCCTCACTGCAAAGGGAACGGATTCCAACCCAAGTGAAAGTGGAGTTTAGGTTTTAATCTGCCTGAGAGCTGTGTAACCTAGCCTGGACCTAAAGATACCTCAGACTGGGTTGTAGTTTTTCCTATGTAAATGGTGGGGGAATGAGGGCCAAAATTTAGTAAGAGCCCAGATTAACTGGGCAGTTAAGACTTATTCATAGAATGAAATTAAGGGGTTGTGTGTCAGCAAGTTATAGTGGGGTAGAAGTTTAGCAATTATATTTTAATTAGCCAGAATCCCCAATATAAGTCTAGTCAGTAACAATGTAGAAATGGTCCTGTACTTTAATTTTGGTCCTGTACTTTTGTAATTTTCAGAAATCATTTCAGCGTTTTTATTAGACTTCATTCTTCCTGCCAGTACTTCATAGACAGTTAACCTCATTATGTTATTGAAACAACACAGTTATTCATAGCATCAAACTTCTAGTTGTATCACAAATTCATTGCACTGTGCCTGCATCCTACCCATCACATTAATTGATGTATAGGGAGTGCATCTTGGCTAAATAGAGAATAAGAAGGATTGGGCCATTGGATGGCTATAGCATACTTAATAAAATGTGTGACATGGGTATTTTCAACTCTGGTCCAGCTTTCCAGACAAGTTACCCAGTTTTCTATTAAATAAAACTCAGTATAGTTAGATTAAGGCATAGGCACCCATAGGCCTACGCCTCTGACTCTTGGTGTCTTGTGATTACATCTCAATGTCAGGTCTCATGTTTTTAAAGATAAGTTGTTAGATTTCATAGTTGTGTAACCCCTCCTATTCACTAGCCCAGTGTGAAGTTATTCAGCATGGGGAAGCCTTGTGACTTCTTACACAACTGTGGGAGGCTAGGCCTGAGGCTTCTTGGTGTGCTCTGCATTGTGTATTAGTATGTGTGCATCTCAGACCAGACCCACTCAGACAAACCACCAGGAACAGGCTTTATTCTGTAAAAAAACATAGAGCAGGATCACAGTCCAGCAGCCGCTGCTCTCTGCATGCAGCCTGCATACTGCTTCCAGCTCAGTCCTTGCTGAGACCCTGTTGGGGGCAGAGGGTACATCCTGGCTAGAACCAGGAAGTTCTCCCAACATGCCGCAGTTTGTAGTCCACAACTTGTAGTTCCCAGGGCTGCTGTTGAAGCACACTAGATCGTGGGCTACAGTTGTAAAGAAAGTTTTGAAATTGTATGGGTTGTGCCTCCCAAATGTAATTAATGCAGAGATGTTTGCCTGAGTCTACAGACAGTTTGAAGCAATAGTGATGAGAATTTTCCCATGCCTCAGAATGGGCTATTGACTCTAAGATTTGCTGCTCTGGGTGCTCCTGATGAACCCAGCCCAGCAGAGGACTCTGCATGTAGTAGAAGAATGCCACAGGCCTTTCCCACCAGCCAAAGCAGTTGCATCCTGGTTATTGGGTTTAAATACCAGAGGTGGGGGGGAGGGGGACTCCTGCCTCTGTGAAGGAAGAGTGGGCCCATCTTGCTTCTGTTGTGGAATAGACAGGATAGACAGGAACTTCATACCATTGTCCCTGCATGGGAGAGGAAGAAGGGTTCTGTTACTGCCACTTCAAATGGCAAGGGATGTGGTTGGGCACAGAGCAATTAGGGGAGAGCTCTGGAGATTTTTGCCAGAGTTATTGTTTAGGGCACTGGATTGCCGTAAGCTGGCCCTGTTCCCCAGCCCCTCTTTTGGGACTTAACGAAGTGGCAATATTGTCTTCAAGTGAGACAGTTCTTAGGGAAATGGCTTCTCCAGACTCCACAGATAAAACGTGGGTGTGCATGCATCCTTGTCAACTATCAATAGGACTTTAGGATTTGGTTAGTTGATAATGCATTTACTTTTTGGCTTTCCCTGAGGAATTGTTGTAGCCTATGTCCTTTGTGATCTTATCTGTTGTCACAATCTGCACTGAGTCCAAATCTCATCTGTACCAATTCACAAAGTGGAGCCATTTCAATATAATTTTCCCAGAATTCTTCCTAATGCTATGAAGTTAATCTGTGTTCCTGTGATAACTGCAATACATAAATGTGGCTTTCATCAGTGCTTAGATAATGTAGAGCAGACAGATATCTAGGTAATAAGCTGCTGTTTAATTCTCTCTCTTTATCCAGTTTACAGTCCACACCTCGAAGTTCCTGTGTAAGCCATTTGAATTAATTTTTCCTATAAGAGTTTGTGAAACACTGTATAAAATTCTTCACCAAAATCAAAATATATCACATCAGCTGCATTTCCTTCATCCACTAATACTGTGTTTCTGTACTTCTGAAAAAGGCAATCCAAGTTTGCCCAAGTCACACTGAAAAGCTGCTAAAAAGACTTTTTAAGAGAAATAGATTTACACAAAGGCTGGTCTTCTGTTTTGGCTAATACGTTATTTGGAAGTATTTTCCATTTATAGATCAAGTGTGTTTCTTTCTCTTATTGGGGATATGTAGTTCCACTGCTTTCTTATCTGATATCCAGTGGTGATTTTTGCACATGCTCAGCCTGTAGCATTTTCTTGATTGTAGGAATAAACATGCTTTGCAAATTTTCCTGCTTCTTGTGCCTACAACTGATAACTTGAAGGATCGGTAATTAAGGAGGGATGGAATTGGTCTGACTGGACTTTCCAGTACCTACTGTCTAAATCTGGGACTGTTTTGTTTGTTCTTTGTTTATACAATGTGACATACATTAGTGTTCTGGTCCATCACTGGGATTCGTGAGTGCTACAGTGATACAAACAGTTAATAATAGAAGATTGGAGAGACACTCAGGCCAGTGTATACAAACAAAATACATTTTATCTAGTGACAGCAGGGATCCAGGCTGATCAGTAATGGTGGAGAGCCAGGACTAAAATTATTAATCAATCACACAAAGTTATATTTACAACTAGAATTGACTTTGAATACATATGAATGAAATTCTAATTGAAATTAACTGAGCACATGCATCTAAAGCTTAGCTAAGGCTCATATACTTTTATGTAAAAACAAATAATATCTTATTATATTTGGCTTTCGGGTCTATAAGAGCTGGCTCCAACAGCTGCATAGAATGTGGGATTATTAGTACAATAATTGTAATAGGAATTCTCACTGTAATCAGAATATATGAGAGCAGGCTAGGAATAATCTGTTTTTCAGCCAAAATATTTGGCTGAAATACATTTCAAGTTTCCCTTCATGTAGTATAAGCTGACCTTGAGAAGTATAATGATTTAAACAGTGGAAGATACCCAAATAGTGTAATTTAAGTAAGAAGTGCTAATTTAAGTGTGATATATGCTGAATATATTTAGCTGATAAAACCCAGAATACCTATTTTCTCTTCAGTGTACTAGATTGTTGGTTTTGTAAATTAATGCTAATTCTTCTGTCACTGTTTTTTGAAAACTTGATTACTATTTTTATGTCTATACTGGAAATTTTGGCTCACATTGATTAAAAATTATACACTCACACAAGC